CATTATGCAGGCCAAGTCCCCCCACCCCTATCCCAGACTTCCTGGCGACTTCTTGCTGCGGTCACCCTAGCAGTTTGTTTGGGGTGCAGTGGCAGAAAACTTGACTGGCCACTAATGCTCCCTCTAATATTTTCAATCCATGTGTGGAATAAATTTGTATGTGCACGGAGGCCTGTGCCAATGTGCACCACTAGTAGAAACAAAAACCTAGTTACAAGTGCTCTGCTAATCAGATGGGCGGTGCTGGACTCTCTCCTGAGTGGCTGCACAAGCAGAGAGCTTATAGGGAGCACCGCTATCCACCAACTCTGACAGTCCTGAAGACAAAGACGATCCAAGGGGTTTACGGGATGCTTTCGGAGGACACCCAGAGCATGAGTCTATTGCAAAGGAATAAGGCTTTTACCTTGCATCTTGGCTTGACCCAGGCTCGGTCCCTCTGCCCCCCATGGGGTCCTGATAGCCTGGGTTTGAACCCTGAGGTAGTGCAATTTGTGTGTAGATGGCAGGGGAGTTAGGCCTGAGCCTGAATTTGAACCCTGGGCTTACACCATAACGTAGACATACCCAGAGACTATTACCCAGGATTAAAACACCCAAAGAGGCACCATTCCATGTATCTATCCACCCTAGGAACAGGGACTGGTGTTAGTTACAAGACACCCACCCATTCATCAACAATATTGGCCCCCGGCAACTATTAGTTCAGTCCAGTCCTGCCGACAAGGCTTAGATACCCCTCGTTAAAGCAGATCCCGCCCTTCCAGGAAGCATTTGGCCCAAGGACCTCCCCACACCGCTCTTACTCATTCCTTAGGCAGATAACCCCAAACAGAACCTGCCCTGCTGAGCCGCAAACTTGAGCTAGAAGGAGAACCTCTGCCTTCTCTGATATCCCCAAACAGAACCTGCCCTGCTGAGCCAGCAAACTTGAGCTAGGAGAACCTCTGCCTTCGCTGATACGAGGAGAGAGTGTGATTTGCCCCAGGGTTACAAAGCAAAACGGTAGCCGGGCTGGGAATGCAGTCTATGCGCCCCGCTTCAAGCCTCCGCTATAAGCATTCGAGAACACTGCCTTCCTTTGTGGCAGACTCCTCACGTGATTTGCCCCAGGGTTACAAAGCAAAACGGTAGCCGGGCTGGGAATGCAGTCTATGCGCCCCGCTTCGAGCCTCCGCTCTAAGCATTCGAGAACACTGCCTTCCTTTGTGGCAGACTCCTCACGTGGCATGAGAAAGGTCATGCCGATCTGCTAACGAAGGCTGGACTGGCCTCTCACAGGAGGGAGAAAAGAGGCAGCCAGCCGAAGAGACAGGATCAGAGGCAACTTAAAAAAAAAAAGTCATCGCAGGCAAATACTGTTTGGGGGAATTCAGTGGGAAATGGAAAAGCCTGAGGTTTTCCCGCAAGCTTAAGTTTACGCCCTCAGCGAGCTCAAGAAATAGAAAGTATCAGTATTGTTCATTATGTCACTGCGGCTGATGGGATGTGTCAGGGGCGTCTGCAAGCACGTGAGAAAGCAAGTAGTGATCTCTGGCGCACGTAGGAGGGAGAGCATGCGGAGAGGAAGGCTGCTCCATAGCATTTGCCTAGAACTTGAGAGCACCAGGGTCAAGTCCCTTCTGTGCCACAGCCTTTCAGTGTGAGCTTGGGCAAGTCATTTTGCTCTCCGTTTCCACACATTACAAAGACTGGAAGTGGCTCAGCCAGTAGGGTGACACACAGGACCGCATTTTGCTCTCCGTTTCCACACATTACAAAGACTGGAAGTGGCTCAGCCAGTAGGGTAACACAAAGGACCGCAGCCGACACTTCCAGCTGTATCCGGGGCTACTGCTGAAGCCCCATTTAAATCCGGTTGTGGTGCAGCAGGATCCTCCGGTACTTTGGCTAGCGCGCGGGGGCGGGGCCAAAGTCAGCCTATGGATTTCTCCGAGTGACTGGGGATAGCTCTGGCTTCACAGGCGCTAAGGCTCTTGTCACCTTTAAAAACGTGCTCGATTGTGGCCAGCGGTCCAGTAGGGCCTGCAATGGAGGTAGCTCTCTCTCTCTACCCTCCCTCTGTCTCAGGGCC